GGTATTTTATTAGATGCTAATCAATGAGGCTTAACGGGGCCACAGGAGCCATCCATCACAGCTGCTGCATTTACAGCTTCCACGTTGTCGGTGGAGCATGTTCCTTTAGGAACCAGGAATCAGGAACCACCATCTTTTGAGCTGCTTCAGAGACCTGGAAGCGAACAAGTCCTGCAGGGACGGCAGATTGCAGCCGATCAGCCTCTCTGCGGAGCGGAGGACACGCTGCAGCCTGCCCTTGTCCTTGGCTGTGGCTGCAGCGTACCAGGCGGTGATGGAGGAGCAGAGGACGGACTCCATGATGGCCGTGTAGAAGTGGACCATCATCGTCTTTGGCAGGTTGAGTTTCTTCAGCTGCCTCAGGAAGAACAACCTCTGCTGAGCCTTCTTGGTGATGGAGCTGATGTTCAGCTCCCACTTGAGGTCCTGGGTGATGATGGAGCCCAGGAAACGGGAGTCCACAGTGGTGACGGGGGAGTCACACAGGGTGATGGGGGAAGGTGGGGCTCTGTTCCGCCGGAAATCCACAACCATCTCCACTGTCTTCAGAGCGTTGAGCTCCAGGTTGTTCTGGCTGCACCACGACACCAGATGGTCAGACTCCACCTGTAGGCGGACTCGTCCCCACCAGAGATCAGTCCAATGAGGGTGGTGTCATCCGCAAACCTCAGGAGCTTGACGGACTGGTGGCTGGAGGAGCAGCTGTTGGTGTACAGGGAGAAGAGCAGAGGGGAGAGAACGCAGCCTTGGGGGGAACCGGTGCTGATGGACCGAGAGGCTGAGACATGTTTAAAAATTGTACTTTAAGTTTACTTAGATTACACTTTAAATCCACGGCTTTTTACATTTTGCCCGGGGGGGTCAGGTGTCTTGCTTGGCTTGAAACATGGGGCAGCCGGGACTTGAACCACCAACCTTGCAGTTCCCAGCGCACCCCCTCTACCCCCTGTGCCATGACAACCCATGTGGTTCTATCTGATGGTGGTTCTATCTGACGGTGGTCCTATGTGACGGTGGTTCTATGTGACGGTGGTTCTATCTGATGGTGGTTCTATGTGATGGTGGTTCTATGTGATGGTGGTTCTATCTGACGGTGGTTCTATGTGATGGTGGTTCTATGTGATGGTGGTTTTATGTGACGGTGGTTCTATCTGACGGTGGTTCTATGTGATGGTGGTTCTATCTGACGGTGGTTCTATGTGATGGTGGTTCTATCTGATGGTGGTTCTATCTGACGGTGGTTCTATCTGATGGTGGTTCTATCTGACGGTGGTTCTATCTGACGGTGGTTCTATCTGATGGTGGTTCTATCTGACGGTGGTTCTATCTGACGGTGGTTCTATCTGATGGTGGTTCTATCTGATGGTGTTTCTATCTGACGGTGGTTCTATCTGACGGTGGTTCTATGTGACGGTGGTTTTATCTGACGGTGGTTCTATCTGACGGTGGTTCTATGTGACGGTGGTTGTCCCTGCAGTGGTCCTGTCGTACACCTGCTTACTACTCTCATCATTTGAATCATCGCATGTGTACAGACTGCAAAGCCCTCTGAGGATAATTTGTTATAAATAATTTGATAATTAGTGATTTTGGGCAAAACAAAATGAATTGAATCCTGTAAAAACAGCTGCAACATTCATCTCATAAATTGTGTTTTACTGGTTTTCACATTGTTCTATTTTCCAAATAAAGAGCATTTCGGCTCAGTTTCTCTACAGCTTCTCCATCGTTCCCCTGGGCTCCTTCCCTCTGTGCTCACAGCCGAAGGCCGTGTTTTCATTGTGGTCTGCATTCATCTTGGGAGTAGTGGTTGGACGGGGAGGAAGGGGGGGGCGTGGGAGGAGGGAGAGAGAGAGAGAGAGAGACACTGAAGGCAGACGGAATCCTCTCCACATGAAGGAAGCTCTGCTCCGATGTGGCTTCCACCTCAGGAAGGAATGTGTGTTTTCCCTCCACGATCATGAACTTCTTCTGTTTGCTTCAGTGGACCAAAACGAGGGAGAGAAACAGGCTTCAAAGAACTCGTGAGAAGAGACACATCACAAGAGACACATCACAAGAGACATCACAAGAAGAGACACATCACAAGAGACATCACAAGAAGAGACACATCGAGGACGGCGAGCGACAAAGAGACATCACACAACCACGAATATGAAACCCATCGGACTGAGGACGTGGAATCGGAGGGATGGAGGCTGGAGGAGAGAGAGGGGGGAGACCAACTGAGTCCCCCAGGGAGGGGGTTAAGGTGAGTGGAGAGAGAGAGAGAGGGAGGGAGGGAGGGAGGGAGACTGCTCCTCAGTAGTTCCTCCTCTCCTCTGACTCCTGCAGCCTCTCTTGTCCTCCTCGTGGATCTCCAGCAGGTAAGAAACACGCACCGCGCGACACGACGTCACGTGACGTTCCGAACACAGTGGAAGCAGAAGAAGAAAGTGAACTTATTCACAAACTCAGCAGCGTTTTTCTTTTTCACAAAGTTGGCCCGTTTATTCTCGTGCACGCGTCTCGCGGACACCTTTCTCGCCGCGCACGGTGCGTGCGCGCGTGCGTGCGTGTGACTGCGCGTCTGTACACGTGGCCCCCTCGATGAGTCCACCGTGGCGGCCGCGCGCGCGTGGGTGCAAGAGCGTGGGCGTGCGTGTCGTGCACGCGGCTCCCGGGAGGCCCCGCTGCGGTACGATGACGTCATGACGTAACCCGTTTGGCACCGACTCAAGAGTCAAATATCAGGTTACCAAACCGGAAGTAGATCCCTGAAGAAAACATGCAACTTTAATTAAATTGTATTCATTTTGTATTAAAGTTTGTGGATTGTTAACGTGATTTAAACTGGTTCCATAAACGTCACAGACATTCAGACGCTGAGCTTTGAGGCTTGTGAAGGTCAGAGGTCAACAAGATGCTGCTATTTTACATTTGTGGTTCATGGAGGAAAATAGTGTCTTCATCCAAAAAGCATTTACTGTATTTTTATTTCTTATTTCCTATATTCTGCCGTAGTGAGGCTTCTGACCTTCAGTGGTTCATCAACAGAACTTTGTTGCGTTAGAAAAGATGCTGGTTTGGAATCCAACAAGCAGCAGGAGGTCCACGTTCCTCTACAAGCCCCGCCCCCTCTCCTGGCTCTCCATGACCTGGTTATAAAGGGATGAAGAACCTTCACTTCACTGTGGGGCCGATGGAGGTTTTGAAGCCTCCCAAATCTTCTTTTGTTGTCTTTTGTCGCTGCAGCGAATCCACAGAGACATAAAAGTTATAAGTTGATGAATTGATGAAGGACACAGATTAGAATCCACAGGGTTTTTATTGTAGATCCAGAAGTTCCCACAATACCTTGCTGCTGTTTTCTACACAAAGCACGAGTGTGTCTGTGTGCGTGTGTGCGTTCTTAAAGACATTCTTAAATTACACTGAACATTTTATTCTATTTTTCTTTGTTCTTAACAGTTTGTAAATGTTTGTAATGTTTCTGAAATGTGCTCAGCGCTTCCAGCTGTGCGATGTTTTCACCCCCCGGTGTGTTTGCGAGGCGACTCTACTCTCTGCGACCTTCCGCCCGCAGGTCGTGTCGGCCATGTTGGCGGTGTGTCTGAGGCTGCTGTGGCTCCTCCCCCTGGCCTGCTGCGTCCCCTCCCCCTCCAGACCCCCCTCCAGACTCTGCAGGCGGTGCTGCGACCACACGGAGCCCCCCGCCGCCACGGGCCAACGGCAGATACCGGAGGTCCGCGCCGTCATCAACATGACCATCCTCAAAGGTACCGGAGCATTAAAGCCAATGAAAGGGTGTGAACGAGTACCAGGAACCCGCGAGGAACGTGTGGCTTTAAAGTTCTGACCCGCGATCAAACCCATGAAGGTTTCTGTCTCTCTTTCTTGTCCACAAATAGTTGTTTTAGGCAATAATACGTCTCTTTGATGCTACAAGAGAACCAGAACCACATGTGGAGAAGAAGTGGAGGTACTGAACCAGAGGCCAAAAAACTCCAAACATCTAAGAGAGGAAAAGAGTCTGCAGGGACCAATGGAGTCGTCCATTTAAAGTTCAAACTTACTCGTCAATACTTCATTTATTTATTCATTCATTGTACAGGGACCATCCACACCAACGAGAGGCTCTTCTCCATCTGCTGTCCACATGTTCTAAGATCAATCAGGATGAAGATAGCTTAGTGGCTACAGTGTAAAGGAGAACGATGCGTTTAGTCAAACACGTTCTAACGAACTAAATGTAACGTTATAAATATATAACTTACAAGCGCATAACTTCCCCACATGGACCCTTCTGAACGTTCATGCTCAGGGTGAGGAGATGAAGCTGAGAAGACGTTGTCTCCATTTCTCTTGTGTGCTCATAATAACAGTCAGAAGGTTTTATTTATGGGACAGAAACCTGATGGTGAGCCTCTCATTGTCCCACAGATCCTGTTACTCGCTTCATCAGTACCAATAGACATCCGTCCTTCCATATTCCACTGTTCATTTTCATGTGACGTCACTGTCTTCTGTTCCACGGAACCCACCAGGACCGTGTCCTCTTGTGTCCAACACAGCCGGCTAATTAATGTCTCTCTCACACCTAACAAAGGAGACAAAGGAGACCGAGGGGACCGGGGCACGCCCGGCAAGCCCGGCTCGGCGGGCCCCCCCGGCCACGGAGGACCCGCAGGTACCAAAGGCACCAGAGGCCAGGCCGGTTCCCCCGGGGACTCCTGCAAGACCCCCCGCTCCTCCTTCTCGGTGGGCCGGCGCAAGGCGCTGCACAGCGTGGACTACTACACGCCGCTGGTGTTCGACACGGTGTTCGTCAACCCCGACGGCCACTTCGACATGTTCAAGGGCAAGTTCTACTGCCGCGAGCCGGGGGTCTACTTCTTCAACGTCAACATCCACACCTGGAACTTCAAGGAGACCTACCTGCACCTGATGCACAACGACAGGGAGCAGGTGATCCTCTACGCGCAGCCCAGCGAGAGGTCCATCATGCAGAGCCAGAGCGTGATGATGCCGCTGGCGCCGGGCGACGAGGTGTGGGTCCGCCTCTACAAGCGGGAGCGGGAGAACGCCGTGTACAGCGACGACGTGGACGTCTACATCACCTTCAACGGGTACCTGGTGGCCCCCGGCGGCGGGGCGGGTTAAACGGGGCCCGGAGAGCTTCAGTTGGGCGTGTTTGTGTTGTTATACGTTCGTATGCATCTCGTCATGTGACCGTAGACCTTTAAGAGGTCCTCGGTGCAGCAGGTTCCTCTGCAGACCCTTTAAACGTCAGCCGCCTTCAAATAAACTAAAGTGCGTTATTTCCAAATCAAGGTTTTGATGATTCACGCTGACGTGTTGATGTAAACATCTGTATCACATGTATTTGCTTTGCAGCACCGGGCAATAAAAAGACACGAGACTAAGAAAAGAATCACATTATTTAAAACCTGGATCTGAATTCTTTTCCTACGAGCGGAATGATATTTAAGATTTGACTCCTTCTGCTCCTCCGGGTCTCCCTGTGAGCCTGGACGCCGTCCTCAGGGAGGAGAAGGTCTGCAGAGCCTCCTGGAGGGTTCAGATCCGGGTTTGTTCCAGTCTGGTCAGGCTCAGCTGACTGGGGGGGCTATCAGATAGACAGACAGGAACCCCCCCACCAACAACCCCCCTGCAGGACCCGGAGGTTCTCAGGAGGACACCAGACTCGTCTCCACCAGAGACGGATTGAGAGGCGGCAGTCTACAAGTCCTCAAGGAGACGGATGGGGTCTATGCTCCAATCTGGGACCCCGACCCCCCCACTGTCCCTCAGGACTAAAGACTCCCAAACACGAGTTCCCCTCCGTGCACAGAGAGAGATTATTCCATTTATAATGAAATTATTACTTTATTTGATTTTACATATTAGCATTGCTGCAGGAAAATTGAAATATATATATATGTATTTTTAATATATATACAGTATATATATTTATATATATATATAAATTATATATATAGTAATATATATATATATTATACATAAATTATATATATAATAATATAATATATATATATATATATATATTATATACATATATATTATGTGACATGTAACCCAGGGAGACGCTGTCGGACTGTTTTTAAAATTAATTTATTATACTTTGTCATAGAAGTCATTACTGGTTAACATACAGCTGTTCATACAGAGCCGACCAGTTGGTTTTTATTCCACGTTTCAATCCAAATGTACACGTTTGTCTCGTGGCTCCAGAGGAGAAAAATCTCCTTCAGAAGTCAGTTCTCATGTGTCTCCTCCTCGTCCTCCTCGTCCTCCTCGTCCTCCTCCTGTATCGGATGGTGGGATGTCGAGGCAAAGGGAGCTGAACACACCGGCACGATGATGAACACGGGGCTGAAGTGGATTCTGGGAAATGACCACCACTGAACCATGCAGCCGCACATTTGGTTAGCACACACACACACACACACACACGCACGCACGCACACACACACACACACACACGCACGCACGCACACACGCACGCACACACACGTTACAGAGACCCATTAAAACATTTCCAAATAAATGCACAAAATAATAAGGAACCAAAACCCCCAAAAACATAAAAAATAAAACTATGCGCATGTGTACAATCGTCATCAGTGCACGTGAGGCCGGGGGTTAAAGGTCAATGTCCCCACATGTAATCAGGTAATAACAGGACTTCCTTTGGACACCTGGAAACCGGCAGGACGGCTTAACTGGCTGAACTGTGACGAGTGTGTGTGTGTGCATGTAAGGGACAAGCCGTCCTGGAGGACGCCTCCTAGTGGACACCATGAGGACATGGAGGACGCCTCCTAGTGGACACCGTGAGGACATGGAGGACGCCTCCTAGTGGACACCGTGAGGACATGGAGGACGCCTCCTAGTGGACACCGTGAGGACATGGAGGACGCCTCCTAGTGGACACCGTGAGGACATGGAGGACGCCTCCTAGTGGACACCGTGAGGACATGGAGGACGCCTCCTAGTGGACACCGTGAGGACATGGAGGATGCCTCCTAGTGGACACCGTGAGGACATGGAGGACGCCTCCTAGTGGTCACCATGAGGACATGGAGGACGTCTCCTAGTGGACACCATGAGGACGTCTCCTAGTGGTCACCATGAGGACATGGAGGACGTCTCCTAGTGGACACCATGAGGACGTCTCCTAGTGGTCACCATGAGGACATGGAGGACGTCTCCTAGTGGACACCATGAGGACATAAATGCATAATCACCAGCTCATTTAAACGCGGCGTTAATAAACACAACTCATAACCCTGTTTAAGAATCAGCAGCTAATCTCATCAAACAGTAACAGAGACACGTCCCTCCAATAAGGTGCAATTCGTCAACACGCGTATTTATCTGCATCTCAGCGCGCAGGACGCAAGACGCAGGACGCAGGACGCAATACGCAGGACGCAAGACGCAGGACGCAGGACGCAATACGCAGGACGCAAGACGCAATACGCAGGACGCAAGACGCAGGACGCAAGACGCAGGACGCAGGACGCGGGACGCAATACGCAGGACGCAATACGCAGGACGCAGGACGCAAGACGCCCGTTGCTTTTTTTGTCAGTTTGGAGGAAAAAACAAAACAAAAAACCCTGCTGACTTTTAGTGAAGTAAAAGAAGAAGCATCGATCAACAGAAGCTGCTGCTTCTCCTCGACGGCGCCGGTCCAAACCGGCTCTGAGCGGCGAACGCCACGACACAAAGACGAGACGCTCGCTGGTCACACAATGGGGAAGTCATCACGGCGATGTCATCGGCCAGAACTCGACCCGACCTCAGAGGCTGCTCTGTGTGTGTGTGTGTGTGTGTCTGTCTGTGTGTGTGTGTGTGTGTGTCTGTGTGTGTGTGTGTGTCTGTCTGTGTGTGTGTGTGTGTGTGTGTCTGTGTGTGTGTGTGTCTGTGTGTAAACGTGGGACATCCGGCCCAGCAGATGGTTCTGATTGACCTCTTAGATATTTCTAACCTGGACAACGATGATAATCTCCTCTGCAGAGCGCCGCCTCGGTTCTACAGAATAAAGGTTCTCAGACTGATCATTTCTGGTACCAACAGGAGCTGCTGCACCGAGCGCTCCTCTTCTGTCAGAACGCCCAGCCGGCCCCTGAAGGAGCTTCCAGAACTTCATACTCCTGCTGATGGAGCAACTCGCCGGTCGCTACATGAACGTAGCTTCGTCCACACACAGCTTAGCAGAGCACGTTGCATCTCCACCCTGATGACGTCTCCACCTTCTGGGCTACGTTTGCTTATGAATTATTTTGAGAACGTCGGCCGAGGAGCTTCATCACCTCCCGGCTGTTACGCCACACGAGGGAACCGTTTTACCACGTTTGTATTTTTAGTTTAGTTTGTAGTTTCGGGTCCGCGGCGACGCCGCGCTTCGTGGAATGCGAGCGCCTCTCGAGAGGAGCGACGACACGTGGCGGCCGGCTCGTGTTTCAGGAGATTCTCGGGACTTGTTGACTCGAGGCGCGTCGGAGACGGAAGGCGCCGGTGGTGGTGAAGGTTAGCGAGTGTTTAAACTAGTGATTATTGAAACCCGAGTCCGTCCTCGGCCTTCGTGGACGCTGACCCAACAAAGCGTCTCCTTTTCACGCTTTCAGGCGCAGAAACGTGCAGAAATGAACTGAGTAGATGATGAAGGCGTGAAGCGAAAGGCGACCTGCTTTCAGTAGTGAAAACGTCTTCAGCACTTCTCCCAAATGGGCCCAAATACTTTGTCTTTCCGCCGTTATCAATACCTGAAAGGTAATAAAGAGGTTTCCAGGCAACGCAGCCTCGACCCGCCAGCGGCGGCGCGGCTCTCCTTTTAGCATTTGACACTTTATTGGTTTGTTGGTTTGAGCGGCGGAGAGAAAAGATGATCGATTGAAAGCTGCAGCTGAAGGGTTTAAAATAAAGTAAATCAATGAGTCATGACCTCCTCCAGGCTTTGTTTTCAGAACGATAACGCCGAATGTCACCATCTGCCCAAGTGCCCTTGGCCGAGGCGCCGACGGTGAGGTCGTCCAATCGATGGAGGACCCTCGCAGTTTATAGTTATTGCTACAGAGGCGTCGTGGTTACTGCCATTGGCCTGCTGCCTCTAAGAAGACGATTATCGGGAGAAGCACAAACGCGTGAAGAAGAAGAAGAAGAAGAGTGTTGTTGACCATGAACAGTGTATGAGGAAGTGGACCTTGTCACGTGATGTCACCCATTGAACAGGAAGTGACATGAAGTGACCATATAAGGATTGAGGAGGACGTAGAGACGCTGTACACGTCTGTGAACATCATGTTGCATTGAAGACATCGCCCCCTGCTGGTCACTACAGAGAAGTAGAGTCATTTCCTCATAGACGTCTATGGGAGCAGAGGAGTCGCCCCCTGCTGGTCACTACAGAGAAGTAGAGTCATTTCCTCATAGACGTCTACGGGAGCAGAGGAGTCGCCCCCTGCTGGTCACTACACAGAAGTAGAGTCATTTCCTCATAGACGTCTATGGGAGCAGAGGAGTCGCCCCCTGCTGGTCACTACAGAGAAGTAGAGTCATTTCCTCATAGACGTCTATGGGAGCAGAGGAGTCGCCCCCTGCTGGTCACTACAGAGAAGTAGAGTCATTTCCTCATAGACGTCTATGGGAGCAGAGGAGTCGCCCCCTGCTGGTCACTACACAGAAGTAGAGTCATTTCCTCATAGACGTCTATGGGAGCAGAGGAGTCGCCCCCTGCTGGTCACTACAGAGAAGTAGAGTCATTTCCTCATAGACGTCTATGGGAGCAGAGGAGTCGCCCCCTGCTGGTCACTACAGAGAAGTAGAGTCATTTCCTCATAGACGTCTATGGGAGCAGAGGAGTCGCCCCCTGCTGGTCACTACACAGAAGTAGAGTCATTTCCTCATAGACGTCTATGGGAGCAGAGGAGTCGCCCCCTGCTGGTCACTACAGAGAAGTAGAGTCATTTCCTCATAGACGTCTATGGGAGCAGAGGAGTCGCCCCCTGCTGGTCACTACAGAGAAGTAGAGTCATTTCCTCATAGACGTCTATGGGAGCAGAGGAGTCGCCCCCTGCTGGTCACTACAGAGAAGTAGAGTCATTTCCTCATAGACGTCTATGGGAGCAGAGGAGTCGCCCCCTGGTGGTCACTACAGAGAAGTAGAGTCATTTCCTCATAGACGTCTATGGAGCAGAGGA